TTTTATTTTTATATCTCTCCGCTGTCAAGAGGGGGGACACTAAAATGTTTTCTCCGGGAGGTGGGGGCCCAAAAGGCTAGGGCCGGCCCTGCAAGCAAGCACACACACACACACACCATGGTGAACTTTGACACACACAGAGCCAAGGTGCAGGGAGAGGTCATGACCAGGAGGGAGCAGTGTAGATGTCTAGGAAAGGACCAGGATGTTAGTTGTTCTTCTTTAGAAGCTTTTCTTTTTTTCTTTTTTTGACACAACAGACCACAGTATTAAAGAAACGGCACTGAGATGTCCAATTCACACAAACAAATACAGAGCACACATGCAAGCTTTTACAGGGGAATATAAACCCTCTGGATTTGCATTCATTCAAATGTAGGCTCTTTATATCCATGGATCAATGTCTAAAACCATGTTTTCTTTTCACTGTCTGTGTCTTTTCTGTACAATTATCCGTTTTTGTAGGCTACTACTGCAAAAGTAATGAGATGGTTACTATATTTGCACATTCCAAATGACAATGAAAATGTATATAATGAATACTTTTTACCATGTATTTATGAATATGAAAACAAAATCCAATAAAAAAACGATATTAATTTGCTAGGCACACATTGACCCATACTAACATATTATTTGTGCAGCAGGGCTTTTTGACAGCATGTGGTGCTGACCAAAGCTACAGTACAGGACAGAGAGATTCCTCCAAAATAACAAAGTTCACAGTTTCAACACCGTTAGCTGACAACACTTGAGACGGAATACCATTTGCACAAACACACGCATACGGACACACATATCAGTAAAACTGTTATAGACATGTAGAGGAAAGCCATGCCGACAGTAGCTACATTTAGCGTGGCACTACTATTATCATAGCACACTGCTGATCACAAGACTGTCTACAGCTAGGGGAAGTGTTTGGGTTTATTTCTAAAACAGCTTGGGGAAGTGATCGGGGTTATGTCAAAATCAACGCCTCTGCTAAAAGTTGCCTCGGCTATCCTCCAGTATCTGTTGTGATCTTGCTATAGATCAGATAGCTGGCAAGGCGAGTGAGTTGGGCTTCCGTAAAACAAGATCTCCATTAAATCCATACTGCTCCCCTCTCCTCCCGCATCTGCAGTGTAATCAAGCTGTAGATCATAGGGCTGCCTGGCTGGTCAGAGGAAGGGGTGTTACATCCAATACAACACCTCAGGGAAATGTTGTTTCCCCTCTCTTCAAGTGGCTGACCAATACCCCCTATGCACTGTATTGTGCACTACTGTTGACATAAGCCAATAGTGCACATACACCATACAGTATGGCACAGGTCAAAAGTACGGGTATCATTTGGGACACAACCACAAACACTTGAGGAGTACTGGGAATAGTGTGCCATTACAGACTTGAGGAGTACGGGGAATAGTGTGCCATTACAGACTTGAGGAGTACGGGGAATAGTGTGCCATTACAGACTTGAGGAGTACGGGGAATAGTGTGCCATTACAGACTTGAGGAGTACTGGGAATAGTGTGCCATTACAGACTTGAGGAGTACTGGGAATAGTGTGCCATTACAGACTTGAGGAGTACGGGGAATAGTGTGCCATTACAGACTTGAGGAGTACGGGGAATAGTGTGCCATTACAGACTTGAGGAGTACGGGAATAGTGTGCCATTACAGACTTGAGGAGTACTGGGAATAGTGTGCCATTACAGACTTGAGGAGTACGGGGAATAGTGTGCCATTACAGACTTGAGGAGTACGGGGAATAGTGTGCCATTACAGACTTGAGGAGTACGGGGAATAGTGTGCCATTACAGACTTGAGGAGTACTGGGAATAGTGTGCCATTACAGACTTGAGTGAGTCACGGGAATGTGTGCCATTACAGACTTGAGGAGTACGGGAACTAGTGGGGCCATTAAACAGACTTGAGGAGTACTGGGAATAGTGGGTGGCCATTACAGACTTGAGGATACGGGGAATAGTGTGCCTTACAGACTTGAGGGTACGGGAATAGTGTGCATTACAACGGAGATACGGATATGTGCGCATTACAGACTTGAGGAGTACGGGAATGTGTGCCATTAACGACTTGAGGGATACTGGGAATAGTGTGCCATTTAACAGACTGTGAGGAGTACTGGGAAGATTGTGCATTACAGACTTTGAGAGTAAACGGGTAATAGTGTACCATTACATACGTGAGGAGGTCCGGGGATAGTGTGGCCATTACAGACTTGAGGAAGTACTGGGAACTGTGTGCCTTACAGCCGTGAGGAGTACGGGGAATATGTGCCATTACAGACTTGAGGAGTTACGGGGAATAGGTGTGCCCTTACAGACTGTGAGGATACGGGGAATAGTGTTGCCATTACAGACTTTGAGGAGTTACGTGACTAGTGTGGCCATTACAGACTGAGGATACATGGAATTCCTGTGTGCCATTCCAGACTTGACCCCTGTCTCCTCCTGAATAACCGTCTGGCAAGGAGAAACATATCCAAATCCTAATCTTGAGATTGTTTCCCTGCCTCCGGCTGGCTGTTTAGGAGGGAAGATCGTCTGTTCCCCGGCTAAAGCAGCAGAGATAATGATTTATCGCCCTGTTTATCGGCCTGGACCGGGCTCAGCCATGAGGAATTTTCGGATAACCACCAACCAGATAGAGAGAGAAATATAGATAGAGAGAGAGAGAGATAGAGAGAAGAGAGAGATATATGAGAGAAGAGAGAGAGAGATAGAGAGTGAGAGAGGGATAGCGCGATAGCTAGCTCCGCGGCTCATCTCTATAGCGAGCCTCGATATGCAGACTCGAGCAGCCTCGTCTCTCCTAGATAGCAGAGAACAAAACACATATACACAAGAGGGAGAGGGGGGATACAAATCGAGATACAATAGAGATAAGATATAGAGAGCATCAGAGAGAGAAGAGAGACATAGAAAGAGAGAGAAACTAAGTGAATCAGATGTCATCAACAGCTGTAGAACCAGGTCAGTGTCTAGTCGGATCATTGCGCAGATTTCCTGAACGATCCAGACCAGTTTACATTGAAAAAACTCTGGAAAACTTCACAGAGATCCAAAGACCCAGCGATCACATCCTGATCCAAAACATCTGAATCTCATCTCAGTCCACCTGTTGTCTCATTCACGTTTACTGGTCTGACCCCATAGGGTCCTGGTGAAAAGTAGTGCGCTAGATTAGGGTGCCATTTCCGATGCAGCCTGCCTAGGTCCTGTAAGCAGCACATGTAGGGCAGGAGACAGGGACACTGTTATCTCTGGCCTGGTTCCACAGACTGTTTGTTGTTCCATGGAGTCAGTCTGTACCTTTCTCTCTGATCACTGAGGAAACTTCTGACTCTGCTCTCAGTAAACACGGCTACTTCCCAGAACGACAACGACAGATCCAGTCAACAAATCGCAGACTAACCACTGACTTCTGATAGAAACACTGGGAGACTTGGGAAATTGACTTCTGTGTAGAAGCGTAAAGATTGAGCTGTGAGCTGACGAGAGGAGTGAGGTGACAGGAGGGCTGATGTGACACTGGGTCAGATCAATAAGGCTAGGGGAGGTGTGGCACAGCAGCCATTATCAATTGACATGTCGTTGAATGCAAAAGCCTTGTGTGCCCAACTATTAACATAAAGACATATAGTACACCAGAGAAAAGGCATGGTGCTGTCTAGATGTACTCTAACCTCAAGACTGTGGTGCCCAAATCACACAGTTAAGTTTTGGCCTTAAAAGTTCTTGAAGCCACTACAGTCACAACTTATGACTGCTATTTTGCAACTACAACAAACAATAACCATATTTGGGACTCATTTCATTGACGTATCAAAAGGAATCGCACAGCACAAGACAATTCTGTTTCTGTCAGAACAGTCACCCTGAGGCAAGTGTTCGTTCCCCCAACTCTCTACATCCAAGCAAAGCTATTGTAAATATTCTATGAATGTAAAACCTCCGATGATATCTGAAAACTCCTCCTTAATTAGCAATAAATATGAATGTCAAGAGAAGGGAGAAGTATCTTCTGAAGAGAACACAGACAGCGTGTTTGAGGAGTGAGGTTTTGGCAGAGGAGAGAGAGACAGAGACAGGTTCTACGACAACTGTCATCATTCCTCTGAGTCCTTCTAGTATCTCACAGAAGCCAGAGGAATTATGAGCAGAACAGAACAGAACTCTCAAAAAATGTTGGGTGTGTTTTTTATGTCACTTTCTGCACTGTGTTTCTATCTGCATGAATTCCACTGATGTTGACATTTTTTTATATCTTGTGTGAAACTCAAGAAAATGGTTCATGGAAAAACAAATGGAACATGGTCCATATGTGTCACGGCAGTAAAGAGTCTCTCTCTCTCTCTCTCTCTCTCTCTCTCTCTCTCTCTCTCTCTCTCTCTCTCCTCTCTCTCTCTCTCTCTCTCTCTCTCTCTCTCTCTCTCTCTCTCTAATTATTCATAATAATATATGCCATTCAGCAGATGCTTTTATCCAAAGCGGCTTACAGTCATGTGTTCATACATTTCACGTATGGGTGGCCCCAGCGGGAATCAAACCCATCACATGTTTTGCGTTCTCGACCCTCTAAGGAGATACTATAGTCATAATGAATATTAAGAATAAAACAATCTTGTGGGGTTATGAGCCAGTCTGGTTTCTGTGGTCAGTGAATCTATGTGACACATTTAGATAATACATGATAAGAAAAAAAAAATATCTCAATTGACACGGTGAGGTAGATGGAACAATCTACATGATCTCTCTCTCTCTCTCTCCAAATGAACATATCAAAACATAAAGTGATCTACTTATCAAACCTACTGGTAAAAAAATTACAAATTCCTCTCCTGTCCTCAATCTAACAAGCCCCACCCGTGTTACCCACTCACCATTCACCCTTTATCAATCCATCAACTCTTATCTCAGTGACTTGGTGAAGTGACAATGGCCGATCGCAGTGAAATATGTCTGTCTGTTCCAAAGGTCAAAGGCGAGGGGTTAAAGTACAGTCGTTAACCCTTTACTGCAGTTCCCGTTCGGGTCCGTTCCATCTGCAGCTCCACCCCCACCCACCTCTCCCCTCCCAGAGCTCCCGTCTGCAGCTGGGTCACAGTCCTCCGAGCTCCCCTTACTCCTCCCTCCCTGCTGCTCACTCTGCCAGCTGTGCCCGCTGTACACGTATCCATTAGTAGGCCCTAGATTGGGGAACCGGACCTTCTTGATGCACAGGATCTCCTTGAATGCGTATCTGAACTCAGGGCTCCTGCAGTAGATCAAGGGGTTGAAGGCGGAGTTGGCGTAACCTATCCAGTTGAGTATCCTGAAGGCGAGTCCGATGTCCCCTACCTTCCAGATGGCTACCACCACATTGAGGAGGAAGAAGGGCAGCCAGCACAGCGTGAAGATCCCCATGATGATCCCCAATGTCTTCAGGGCCTTGTGTTCCCGCAGGCAGAACTTGGTCTTCTTGAAGCCTCCTCCAACTCCTCGGCTCTCGTTGTTACTCTCCACCCCTCCTCCTCCTCCCATGTTGTTGTTATGGGCGTGGAAGCGGCCCTCGCTGCGGTCGATCTTGCGTAGTTGTTGCTTGGCCTCCTGGAACACGCGGCAGTAGACAAACACCATGACGACTAAGGGGATGTAGAAGGAGATGTGGAGGAGGTGATGGCGTAGGCTGTATTGGTGTTGAAGTCACAGCAGTTGCTGTTCTGGATGCAGGCCTGTGCCTCCGCGTCGTCACTGATCCACCACTTCATGTGGATGGGCAAGAAGGAGATGAGTCCAGCGATCACCCACACCAGCAGGACCACCACGCGCGCCTTACCCTTGGTCAGCAGAGACTGGTAGCGGAACGGAGAGGTTATGGCCAGGTACCGGTCCAGCGCTATCACGCAGAGCGTCTCGATGCTGGCCGTCACACACAACACGTCCGTGGCGGTCCAGAACTCACACCAGAAGCTGCCGAAGTGCCAGGTGTTGAAGATGATGTAGCAGGCGCCGAACGGCACCACGATGAGACCCATGACCAGGTCGGCACAGGCCAGAGAGGTGATGAAGCAGTTGGTGATATTCTGGAGTCTCTGGAACCGGTAGATGGCTATGATGACCAGGATGTTGCCAAAAACGATGCCTACGACCAGCAGTGACATCAACATGCCTAGGAGGACCATCTCCACCTCACTGTAACCGGGCTCGCCGCCAGCCGCCCCGGCCCATGATATGTTGACTGACTCGGTGACATTGAGGGAAGGCACAGGGGCGAGTGAAGGCGCCAGGTTAGAGATAGGAGATAGAGCGAAAGACGTAGGATGGATGAAGAGAAAAGTGACAAGAGTAAAACAAGCCAGAGAACCACGGTTATCAGACGGAGCCCCAGGAGGAGAGAGAGCTACGTGACATGAGGAAAGAGGGAGAGAGAGAGAGTAATGAGGATGAGAGAAGGATATGAGAGAGAAAAGACAGGATTGAGAAAGAGGAAAGAGAAAAGAGAGGTAAAACAAGAGAAGAGTAGCAACAAGAGAGAGAGAGAGAGAGAGAGAGAGAGAAGAGAGAGAGAGAGAGAGAGAGATAGATAGAAAGTAGAAGACTGGGAAGAAAGATTAATGATAGTGCACGGGAAAGACAGATTTGACTGTACCCGAAAGAGGGAAGCCCCACCGAAGACTGGATACGTGAGGGAAAAGCATGAACAGAGGAGTGAATCCAGCGACCAGTGAGGTCTCGCACGCGACCTCCGCTGATCTCCCCCGGCCTTTCGACCGACATAGTGCTAGAGATCTATATAGCTCTCTCGAGGAGATCCTCTCCTCGTGCTCTCTGACTCTCTCGTCGATCATCTCTACTGCTACGATCTCGCGCGCTACTCGACTCACTTCGCTATCCCGTTCGTCTAACTCTCATCAAGAGAATAGAATAGCGAGCGAGAAACCAAGCGATGATACACGGTCTAGAAAACAGGGAACCTAAACAGGCTAAAACAATGGTGTTAACCTTGAGTGTGAATGAAATTAACTCCCTTGACCACATTAGACAAAAACAAACAAACAGTACATGTACAAACCTCCACAGGTTGTGGTCCCTGTCCTGGTCTCCCATACACGTTGTCATAAAAGTCCTCTTCAGGTTTGGGTAGTTCCTCAGTGTATAGTTTCCCACATCATTCTGTCAGCTCCCCCTCTCTTTTGCTCTTTCACACTCTCTCTCTCTCTCTCTCTCTCTCTCTCTCTCTCTCTCTCTCTCTCTCTCTCTCTCTCTCTCTCTCTTCTCTCTATTACTGTCTCACTCTCTCCCTCACACAGTCAGCTTGCCGTGCAGTGTTTCTGCTAATGTCGCTCTGTCAGAGCCCTTATAAGATTCAGCGATGACATCATAGCATGGCCTCAGCCAATCAGATGCCTAGCCTGACGGGAGAGCTGAAGGCTGCAGTGAGGTGAGTTTGAACAGAGGGCAAGAGAGAGTGCGAGAGAGAGAAAATAATGCATGCAGAGCAGAATAAGGACTATGCCACTAATTATCAAAATCCAAGAAAGTGCCGTTAAACTCCACAACCACCTAAAGGAAAGCCCTCACCTACAGAGAGATGAACCTAGAGAAGAGTCCCCTCAGCCAGCTGCTTACAAATACAAATAGACTCCACAGAGCCCCAGGACAGCAAAACAATTAGACCCAACCAAATTATGAGAAAACAAAATGAGAAGTACTTGACAAATTGGAAAGAATCAACCAAAAAACGGAGCAAACTGGAATGCTATTTTGCCCTAAACAGAAAGTACACAGTGGCAGAATACCTGAACAATGTAACTGAATCATAATTAAGAAAAGCCTTGACTATATACAGACTGAGTGAGCATAGCCTTGCTATTGAGAAAGGCCACCGTAGGCAGACCTGGCTCTCAAGAGAAGACAGGATTTGTGGCCACTACCCACAAAATGTGAAAACCGAGCTGTACATTCTAACTAGCTGCCAAATGTACGATAATCTAAGAGACACATACAGTGGGTTCCAGAAGTATTGGGACAGTGACTCATTTTTTGTCATTTTGGCTCTGTACTCCAACAATGATACAATGACTATGAAGTTAAAGTGCAGACTGTCAGCTTTAATTTGACAGTATTTTCGGGTGAATCGTTTAGAAGTTACAGCACTTTTTGTACATAGTCCCCCCATTTTAGGGAACCAAAAGTATTGGGACAAATTCATTATACAGTGAGGGAAAAAAGTATTTGATCCCCTGCTGATTTTGTACGTTTGCCCACTGACAAAGACATGATCGGTCTATAATTTTAATGGTAGGTTTATTTGAACAGTGAGAGACAGAATAACAACAAAAAAATCCAGAAAAACGCATGTAAAAAAATGTTATATATTGATTTGCATTTTAATGAGGGATATAAGTATTTGACCGCTCTGCAAAACATGACTTAGTACTTGGTGGCAAAACCCTTGTTGGCAATCACAGAGGTCAGATGTTTCTTGTAGTTGGCCACCAGGTTTGCACGCATCTCAGGAGGGATTTTGTCCCACTCTTCTTTGCAGATCTTCTCCAAGTCATTAAGGTTTCGAGGCTGACGTTTGGCAACTCGAACCTTCAGCTCCCTCCACAGATTTTCTATGGGATTAAGGTCTGGAGACTGGCTAGGCCACTCCAGGACCTTAATGTGCTTCTTCTTGAGCCACTCCTTTGTTGCCTTGGCCGTGTGTTTTGGGTCATTGTCATGCTGGAATACCCATCCACGACCCATTTTCAATGCCCTGGCTGAGGACAGGAGGTTCTCACCCAAGATTTGATGGTATATGGCCCCGTCCATCGTCCCTTTCATGCGGTGAAGTTGTCCTGTCCCCTTAGCAGAAAAACATCCCCAAAGCATAATGTTTCCACCTCCATGTTTGACGGTGGGGATGGTGTTCTTGGGGTCATAGGCAGCATTCCTCCTCCTCCAAACATGGCGAGTTGAGTTGATGCCAAAGAGCTCGATTCTGGTCTCATCTGACCACAACACTTTCACCCAGTTCTCCTCTGAATCATTCAGATGTTCATTGGCAAACTTCAGACGGGCCTGTATATGTGCTTTCTCGAGCAGGGGGACCTTGCGAGCGCTGCAGGATTTCAGTCCTTCACGGCATAGTGTGTTACCAATTGTTTTCTTGGTGACTATGGTCCCAGCTGCCTTGAGATCGTTGACAAGATCCTCCCGTATAGTTCTGGGCTGATTCCACACCGTTCTCATGATCATTGCAACTCCACAAGGTGAGATCTTGCATGGAGCCCCAGGCCGAGGGAGATTGACAGTTCTTTTGTGTTTCTTCCATTTGCGAATAATCGCACCAACTGTTGTCACCTTCTCACCAAGCTGCTTGGCGATGGTCTTGTAGCCCATTCCAGCCTTGTGTAGCTCTACAATCTTGTCCCTGACATCCTTGGAGAGCTCTTTGGTCTTGGCCATGGTGGAGAGTTTGGAATCTGATTGATTGATTGCTTCTGTGGACAGGTGTCTTTTATACAGGTAACAAGCTGAGATTAGGAGCACTCCCTTTAAGAATGTGCTCCTAATCTCAGCTCGTTACCTGTATAAAAGACACCTGGGAGCCAGAAATCTTTCTGATTGAGAGGGGGTCAAATACTTATTTCCCTCATTAAAATGCAAATCAATTTATAACATTTTTGACATGCGTTTTTCTGGATTTTTTTGTTGTTATTCTGTCTCTCACTGTTCAAATAAACCTACCATTAAAATTATAGACTGATCATTTCTTTGTCAGTGGGCAAACGTACAAAATCAGCAGGGGATCAAATACTTTTTTCCCTCACTGTATGTGTATTAAAGTAGTCAAAAGTTATGTATTTGGTCCCATATTCAAAGCACACAATGACTACATCAAGCTTGTGACAAATTTTTTGGATGCATTTGCTGTTTATTTTGGTAGCGTTTCAGATTATTTAGTGCCCAATAGAAATGTATTATAAATATTGGATTCTGTCATTTGGAGTCACTTTTATTGTAAATAAGAATATAATATGTTTCTAAACACTTCTACATTAATATGGATCCTACCATGATTACGGATAATCTTGAATTAATCGTGAATAATGATGAGTGAAAGAGTTACAGACGCTTAAATATCATACCCCTCCCCCAAAAATGCTAACCTCCCCTGTTATTGTAATGGTGAGAGGTTAGCATGTCTTGGGGGTATGATATTTGTGCGTCTGTAAATCTCATCATTATTCACGATTCATTCAGAATTATACACTGAACACAATGTTTATTTTATTTTATTTGTACTATTGGTCCTATTTCAATAAAATATGACGCCATAATCTGTGGCATTGAGAAGGCTTTATTGTTTCATGCTAGGTAGTGTTAATAGCCAGGCTAATGCAGAACATTACCAAAATAAGAGTTAGTTCTCCCAGGTGAGTGTAAATGGTTTGTAAGGTGATGTAACCGTTAAATACAGTGGCATGCGAAAGTATTCACCCCCCTTGACATTTTTCCTATTTTGTTGCCTTACAACCTGGAATTAAAATGGATTTTTGGGGGTTTGTATCATTTGATTTACACAACATGCATTCCACTTTGAAGTTGCAAAATATTTTTATTGTGAAACAAACAAGAAATAAGCAAAAAAACTGAAAAAATTAGCGTGCATAACTATTCAGTCTCCCACATGCCTTTTGGCGAACACCAAATGTGTTTGCTTATTTTTTTCTTTAAGCAATGGCTTTTTCTGGCCACTCTTCCGTAAAGCCCAGCTCTGTGGAGTGTGCGGCTTAAAGTGGTCCTATGGACAGACACTCCAATCTCAGTTGTGGAGCTTTGCAGCTCCTTCAGGGTTATCTTTGGTCTCTTTATTCTTTCCATTTTTTAATAATGGATTTAATGGTGCTCCGTGGGATGTTCAAAGTTTCAGATATTTTTTTATAACCCAACCCTGATCTGTACTTCTCTACAACTTTATCCCTGACCTGTTTGGAGAGCTCCTTGGTCTTCATGGTGCTGTTTGCTTGGTGGTGCCCCTTGCTTATTGGTGTTGCAGACTCTGGGGTATTTCAGAACAGGTGTACTGTATATATACTGAGATCATGTAACAGATCATGTGACACTTAGATTGCACACAGGTGGACTTTATTTAACTAATTATGTGACTTCTGAAGGTAATTGGTTGCACCAGATCTTATTTAGGGGTTTCATAGCAAAGGTGGTGAATACATATGCACGCACCACTTTTCCATTATTTATCTTTTAGAGTTTTTTGAAACAAGTAATTTTGTTCATTTCACTTCAACAATTTGGACTATTTTGTGTATGTCCATTACATGAAATCCAAATAAAAATCCAGTTAAATTACAGGTTGTAATGCAACAAAATAGGAAAAATGCCAAGGGGGAGGAATACTTTTGCAAGGCACTGTAAATCTGTTTTATTCCAACTAACAACCCTCAGTCAACACTGCCAGCAACTGCACTGTTTGTTCTCTTTCCATGTAGAAAACAGAGGATTCCAGCTTGTTTCAATAAGGGTGTAGGTCTGTATAAAGCTGCATGTCTTAGGTGTACAAGACCTTAACGGAAAAAAGGTTAACATTGGACTAAATAACATGTGATCTGAGTTGTTCCTCCCACCCTGTCTCATGGAAATATTTAGATCTTTGAATATTTTAGAATACTGACTGTCCAAACAGCAAGTTACAAGTGACCAAATCGGATTTGTGTGTGTTCAGATGGCAGTCATTTGGTGACATGGCTACGCTAGTTGTCATAGTA